AGCACCCTATGTCAAAAAATTCAACACACCAGCAGTGTGAGGAGACCTGAAAGTGGCACATGGCAGAGTGTGGCTATGGAGACAGCAGCAATGGGAGGCCGTACAGGGACCCATGACACACTCTGGACTTGGCAGCAGCATGAGGAGGCGGTATAGGGGCCCATGGCAGATTAGGGGCCTGGCAGCAGCTATGGGAGGCCCGTAATCTGCCAGCACCCTATGTCAAAAAATTCAACACACCAGCAGTGTGAGAGAGACCTGAAAGTGGCACATGGCAGAGTGTGGCGATGGAGACAGCAGCAATGGGGGAGGCCGTACAGGGACCCATGAGAGACTCTGGGCCTGGCAGCAGCGGTATATAGGGGGGCCTATGGCAGATTAGGGGCCTGGCAGCAGCTATGGGAGGCCCGTAATCTGCCAGCACCCTATGTCAAAAAATTCTACACACCAGCAGTGTGTGAGGAGACCTGAAAGTGGCACATGGCAGAGTGTGGCGATGGAGACAGCAGCAATGGGAGGCCGTACAGGGACCCATGACAGACTCTGGACCTGGCAGCAGCATGAGGAGGCGGTATATAGGGGCCTATGGCAGATTAGGGGCCTGGCAGCAGCTATGGGGCCCGTAATCTGCCAGCACCCTATGTCAAAAAATTCAACACACCAGCAGTGTGAGGAGACCTGAAAGTGGCACATGGCAGAGTGTGGCGATGGAGACAGCAGCAATGGGAGGCCGTACAGGGACCCATGAGCAGACTCTGGACCTGGCAGCAGCATGAGGAGGCGGTATATAGGGCCCATGGCAGATTAGGGGCCTGGCAGCAGCTATGGGAGGCCCGTAATCTGCCAGCACCCTATGTCAAAAAATTCAACACACCAGCAGTGTGAGGAGACCTGAAAGTGGCACATGGCAGAGTGTGGCGATGGAGACAGCAGCAATGGGAGGCCGTACAGGGACCCATGAGAGACTCTGGACCTGGCAGCAGCATGAGGAGGCGGTATATAGGGGCCTATGGCAGATTAGGGGCCTGGCAGCAGCTATGGAGGCCCGTAATCTGCCAGCACCCTATGTCAAAAAATTCTACACACACACCAGCAGTGTGAGGAGACCTGAAAGTGGCACATGGCAGAGTGTGGCGATGGAGACAGCAGCAATGGGAGGCCGTACAGGGACCCATGAGAGACTCTGGACCTGGCAGCAGCATGAGGAGGCGGTATATAGGGGCCTATGGCAGATTAGGGGCCTGGCAGCAGCTATAGGAGGCCCGTAATCTGCCAGCACCCTATGTCAAAAAATTCTACACACCAGCAGTGTGTGAGGAGACCTGAAAGTGGCACATGGCAGAGTGTGGCGATGGAGACAGCAGCAATGGGAGGCCGTACAGGGACCCATGAGAGACTCTGGACCTGGCAGCAGCATGAGGAGGCGGTATATAGGGGCCTATGGCAGATTAGGGCCTGGCAGCAGCTATATGGGAGGCCCGTAATCTGCCAGCACCCTATGTCAAAAAATTCAACACACACCAGCAGTGTGAGGAGACCTGAAAGTGGCACATGGCAGAGTGTGGCGATGGAGACAGCAGCAATGGGAGGCCGTACAGGGACCCATGAGAGACTCTGGACCTGGCAGCAGCATGAGGAGGCGGTATATAGGGGCCTATGGCAGATTAGGGGCCTGGCAGCAGCTATGGGAGGCCCGTAATCTGCCAGCACCCTATGTCAAAAAATTCAAAAAATTCTACACACCAGCAGTGTGTGAGGAGACCTGAAAGTGGCACATGGCAGAGTGTGGCGATGGAGACAGCAGCAATGGGAGGCCGTACAGGGACCCATGACAGACTCTGGACCTGGCAGCAGCATGAGGAGGCGGTATATAGGGGCCTATGGCAGATTAGGGGCCTGGCAGCAGCTATGGGAGGCCCGTAATCTGCCAGCACCCTATGTCAAAAAATTCAACACACCAGCAGTGTGAGGAGACCTGAAAGTGGCACATGGCAGAGTGTGGCGATGGAGACAGCAGCAATGGGAGGCCGTACAGGGACCCATGAGAGACTCTGGACCTGGCAGCAGCATGAGAGGCGGTATATAGGGGCCCATGGCAGATTAGGGGCCTGGCAGCAGCTATGGGAGGCCCGTAATCTGCCAGCACCCTATGTCAAAAAATTCAACACACACAGCAGTGTGAGGAGACCTGAAAGTGGCACATGGCAGAGTGTGGCGATGGAGACAGCAGCAATGGGAGGCCGTACAGGGACCCATGAGAGACTCTGGACCTGGCAGCAGCATGAGGAGGCGGTATATAGGGGCCTATGGCAGATTAGGGGCCTGGCAGCAGCTATAGGGAGGCCCGTAATCTGCCAGCACCCTATGTCAAAAAAATTCTACACACCACCAGTGTGTGAGGAGACCTGAAAGTGGCACATGGCAGAGTGTGGCGATGGAGACAGCAGCAATGGGGAGGCCGTACAGGGACCCATGAGAGACTCTGGACCTGGCAGCAGCATGAGGAGGCGGTATATAGGGGCCTATGGCAGATTAGGGGCCTGGCAGCAGCTATGGGAGGCCCGTAATCTGCCAGCACCCTATGTCAAAAAATTCTACACACCAGCAGTGTGTGAGGAGACCTGAAAGTGGCACATGGCAGAGTGTGGCGATGGCGATTTAGTCAATGGGAGGCCGTACAGGGACCCCATGACTAATCCTCTGGACCTGGCAGCAGCATGAGGAGTCGGTATATAGGGGCCTATGGCAGATTAGGGGCCTGGCAGCAGCTATGGGAGGCCCAATAATCTGCCAGCACCCTATGTCAAAAAATTCAACACACCAGCAGTGTTTGAGGAGACCTGAAAGTGGCACATGGCAAGTGTGGCGATGGAGACAGCAGCAATGGGGGCCGTACAGGTCCCATGACAGACTCCTGGCACCAGCATGGCAGGGTGCTGTCCAAAGGCCCAAGCCTGGCAGATTAGGGGCCTGGCAGCAGCTATGGGAGGCCCGTAATCTGGCCCCTATGTCAAAAAAGGGGCACCAGCAGCAGCTGTGGAGGAGACCTGAAATCTGCCAGCACATATGTCAGAGTGTGGCGATGGAGACACACAGCAATGGGAGGCCGTACAGGGACCCATGAGAGACTCTGGACCTGGCAGCAGCATGAGGAGGCGGTATATAGGGGCCTATGGCAGATTAGGGGCCTGGCAGCAGCTATGGTGGAGGCCCGTAATCTGCCAGCACCCTATGTCAAAAAATTCAACACACCAGCAGTGTGGAGGAGACCTGAAAGTGGCACATGGCAATGGCGAGAGTGTGGCGCAACCCATGGAGGACAGCAGCAATGGGAGGCACGTACAGGGCCCATGACAGATTAGGGGCCTGGCAGCAGTTGGAGGCCCGTATCAAGTTTCCAGTGCCCAGTAGTCAAGGGGATTGTCTACCTCGCAGTTGGTGGGGCTGTCCAAGTAGTGGCCCAAGCCTGTTGTTTGAGGTCCTGGCAGCAATGGGAGGATCTGCTGCTGGCTGGAGCTGGTTAGTAGTGGCCTGGCAGCTGGTGAAGAAAGCTACTCATCATCGACTGCAGGCTGAGCAGGCAGCCGCTGCTGGTGGAGCTGCCACTGCTCCTACCACCCCACCCCTCCCCTGCTGCCATGGAGCGAAACGCGAGCGCACAGGCCCACAGTGTCTGAGATGGACGTTGGCGCACAAAGGCAGAGACCAACTGACTACATAGGTGGCATAGTACGTTATTTTGGCCTATATCAGGGGCCTGATGGCACCATTAGGGGCCTGGCAGCAGCTATGCGAGGCCCCAACAAGGTGGACAGCCAAAAGTCATCCTCTGTCTGAAAATTCTTATTCGGCAGTGTGTGAGGAGACCTGAAAGTGAGCATGCTATGGGCCATTTGTGCAGCAAGGAGGCGGTATGCCCATGAGATTAGGGACCTGGCAGCAGCTATGGGGCCCGTATCTCCACAGATACTGCCACGGTGCGTCTGGGTCCTCTGTCTCCTCCTCCAGCTCCTCTACCAGATGCTCCTGCTCCTCCACTCCTGTCCGCTGCAGCATGGAAAAACCACCCATTTCACTCAATAATTCCTGAGCACACCAATGTCAGCAGTGAGGAGACCTCCTCCTCTTCCTTCCTGTCCCTGCCCCCACAGGGGCATGTCTGCAGCAGCCTATGTGCGCCACCAGCTACCGGAGACCCAGTGACCAGGCCATCTGGAACAGGCAAGGAGACGTGCAGCATGAGGAATGACGGTTCATATAGGGCCCTACTGGCAGAATAGCGTGGCCTCCTGGCAGCAGGGGCCTGAGCAGCTATGCGCCCGTAATCTGCCAGCACCCTATGTCAAAAAATTCTAAGTTACACCAGCAGTGTGTGAGGAGACCTGAAATCCGCTTGTACATGGCAGAGTGTCGGTGATGGAGACACAGCAGCAATGGGAGGCCGTAACAGGGACCCATGAGAGACTCTGGACCTGGCAGCAGCATGAGGAGGCGGTATAGGGGCCCATGGCAGATTAGGGGCCTGGCAGCAGCTATGGGAGGCCCGTAATCTGCCAGCACCCTATGTCAAAAAATTCTACACACACCAGCAGTGTGTGAGGAGACCTGAAAGTGGCACATGGCAGAGTGTGGCGATGGAGACAGCAGCAATGGGAGGCCGTACAGGGACCCATGAGAGACTCTGGACCTTGGCAGCAGCATGAGGAGGCGGTATATAGGGGCCCATGGCAGATTAGGGGCCTGGCAGCAGCTATGGGAGGCCCGTAATCTGCCAGCACCCTATGTCAAAAAATTCTACACACCAGCAGTGTGTGAGGAGACCTGAAAGTGGCACATGGCAGAGTGTGGCGATGGAGACAGCAGCAATGGGAGGCCGTACAGGGACCCATGACAGACTCTGGACCTGGCAGCAGCATGAGGAGGCGGTATATATAGGGGCCCATGGCAGATTAGGGGCCTGGCAGCAGCTATGGGAGGCCCGTAATCTGCCAGCACCCTATGTCAAAAAATTCAACACACCAGCAGTGTGAGGAGACCTGAAAGTGGCACATGGCATGAGAGACTGTGGACAGCAGCAATGGGAGGCCGTACAGGGACAGCAGCATGAGGAGGGAGTAGGTATAGGGGCCCATGGCAGATTAGGGGCCTGGCAGCAGCTATGGGAGGCCCGTAATCTGCCAGCACCCTATGTCAAAAAATTCAACACACACCAGCAGTGTGTGAGGAGGAGACCTGAAAGTGGCACATGGCAGAGTGTGGCGATGGAGACAGCAGCAATGGGAGGCCGTACAGGGACCCATGAGAGACTTTGGACTTGGCAGCAGCATGAGGAGGCGGTATATAGGGGCCCATGGCAGATTAGGGGCCTGGCAGCAGCTATGGGAGGCCCGTAATCTGCCAGCACCCTATGTCAAAAAATTCAACACACCAGCAGTGTGAGGAGACCTGAAAGTGGCACACATGGCATGAGAGACTGTGGACCTGGCAGCAGCATGAGGAGGCGGTATAGGGGCCCATGGCAGATTAGGGGCCTGGCAGCAGCTATGGGAGGCCCGTAATCTGCCAGCACCCTATGTCAAAAAATTCAACACACCAGCAGTGTGTGAGGAGACCTGAAAGTGGCACATGGCAGAGTGTGGCGATGGAGACAACCCACCGACTGTTTTGCTCGCTGCCAAGCTGCCACCCTCTTCTCCTGATGATGCGGAAGCAATAGCCTGATGACGACGAGGCTGCCAAGTGCGATCAGCCTCATCATCATCAATTAGGGTCTCCGCCTCACTACTAGCCCCCTCGGCTGCGTGTGGGTCAGGAGACAGACCTGTCTCTACACACGGCTACCGAGCCACTCTCCTCGCCACTACTTCTTCCGAGCCACTCTCCTCGCCATGTCTCCCCCCGTTCCTGACCGCCCTCTGTTAGCTCTTCCTCACTGTACTGGATGACACCGGGAGCACTAGCCTCTGGCTGCGAATAGTGCTGCCTCGACCCCTTCCTCTGCTGCCACGTCTGCTCGCCTAAAACATTGCCTCCTCTGCCAACCTTGCCATACCTCCTCTGCCACTCCTCTGCATGTTGAGTAACAATTCTGTGACATACTGTGCTTTAATTAAACGATTCTGTGTCCCTGAGTAACAATTCTGTGGCCCTAAGTAACGGTTCTGTGGCCCTCAGTAACAGTTCTGTGTCCCTGAGTAACAATTCTGTGTCTGTGCGAGTAACAATTCTGTGGCCCTAAGTAACAGTTCTGTGGCCCTCAGTAACAATTCTGTGTCCCTGAAGTAACAATTCTGTGTCCCTGTGCGAGTAACAATTCTGTGGCCCTTCTGTGTCCCTCAGTAACAGATTCTGTGCCCTGAGTAACAATTCTGTGTCTGTGCGAGTAACAATTCTGTGGCCCTAAGTAACAGTTCTGTGGCCCTCAGTAACAGTTCTGTGTCTGTGAGTAACAATTCTGTGTCTGTGCGAGTAACAATTCTGTGGCCCTAAGTAACAGTTCTGTGGCCCTCAGTAACAATTCTGTGTCCCTGAGTAACAATTCTGTGTCTGTGCGAGTAACAATTCTGTGGCCCTAAGTAACAGTTCTGTGGCCCTCAGTAACATTCTGTGTCCCTGAGTAACAATTCTGTGGCCCTCAAGTAACCGGATTCTGTGCCCTCAGTAACAGCATTCTGTGTCCCTGTGTAACAATTCTGTGTCTGTGCGAGTAACAATTCTGTGGCCCTAAGTAACAGTTCTGTGTCCCTCAGTAACAATTCTGTGTCTGTCCCTGAGTAACAATTCTGTGGCCCTAAGTAACGCTGTGGGCCCTCAGTAACAATTCTGTGTCCCAAAGTAACAATGTGCCCCGAGTAACAATTCTGTGTCTGTGCGAGTAACAATTCTGTGGCCCTAAGTAACGTTTCTGTGGCCCTCAGTAACAATTCTGTGTCCCTGAGTAACAATCCTCTGTGTCTGTGGCCCTAAGTAACAATTCTGTGGCCCTCAGTAACAATTCTGTGTCCCTGAGTAACAATTCTGTGTCTGTGCGAGTAACAATTCTGTGGCCCTAAGTAACAGTTCTGTGTCCCTCAGTAACAATTCTGTGTCCCTGTGTAACAATTCTGTGTCTGTGCGAGTAACAATTCTGTGGCCCTAAGTAACAGTTCTGTGGCCCTCAGTAACAGTTCTGTGTCCCTGTTAACAATTCTGTGTCTGTGTGCGAGTAACAATTCTGGTGGCCCTAAGTAACAGTTCTGTGGCCCACAGTAACAATTCTGTGTCCCTGATTCAACCACGTTTCTATGTGGCCCCCAAGTAACAGTTCTGTGGCCCCTGAGTAACAATTCTGTGTCTGTAGCGAGTAACACCTTCTGTGTCTGTGCGAGTAACAATCGTGGCCCTAAATCACGGTTTCTGTGGCCCTCAGTAACAAGTTATCGGTGTCCCAGTGTAACAATTCTGTGTCTGTGCAGTAACACTTCCTGTGGGGCC